CACATCCTCGGCTTATTCATGCATTCTCCATTGTGCACACGGTTGCATTTAGGACATAGTTTAGCAGCTTGTCCTTGCCATGTTTTCTTTTCTAAACCCAGAAACTTTGGCTTCCTGGTTTCATTGCTCGGACCTTCCCATTTTCTTTTTATTTGGCCCCGCTCAGCATTTTGACGATTCATCTCTTTCTCTCGAACTTCTGCAGCGTTTACTGCCTCCTGAAATGTGGTTGGACTCATAGTGAGTACAAATTCCCGAATGGATGCTTTCAGTCTCCAGATGTACCGCTCTACCCGTCTTTCCTCAGTCGAAACATAGTGCTCAGCAAACCTCGCTTTTTCTGTAAAACTTGTTGTATACTCCCGGACTGTCATGTTTCCTTGTTCCAGCCTCAAAAGTTCCTCTTCCAGTTGCTTTATCGCAGTTCGGGGACAAAACTTCTCATTAAATAAAACTCACCCCATGTCATTCTTGCCACAGCCTCTTCGCCCCTTAAGTTCGTAATTATTTCCCACCAGAAAAGGGCTTCTGATTTTAGCATGGATGTCGCATATGTCACCTTATCTTCCTCCGCACACTTACTGATTTTGAAAATCACTTCTGTTTCTTTTATCCACCTCATAGCTGCCACTGGGTTAGGGTCACCTTGAAAGGGTTGGGGCTTACATGCTAGAAAGGTCTTATAATTACAACCTTGTTGTCCCGTGCTCGTGTTGACAGGACTATTTGGTCTTGACCTCTTATGTCGGTTTTCTCTGTTGTTTGAATCGCTAATATCTCCTCTTCTATTGCTTATCGCCCTATCCTCCTGATTTCTCAGCTCTGCCTCTCGTACCTGAGCTATAACTGCAGGCAAGGCAGCTTGCAAGGCTCTTGTCACCTCCTGAGCAATGATTCCACAGGGTTAGCGACGGTTGCCCGGGTTCGTCCTCGCCCCCTGCCCCTACCTCTTCCAGATGCAGAACTTTCTTGTACAGAGGGCTCAGGTTCATTTTGGGCCGCTTGAGTCCTACCTCGCCCCCTTACTCTTCCTCGACCCCGTCCCCGCGTGCTAACGGTCCTTGCGGCCGCAACCGATGCTGGTCGGGTCTCTTGTACAATAGGGGTGGCTCCTATAGGTGGTGGGTTTACTGCATCGGGTGTAACCGATGTTGTCCTTCCTGACCGTCGTGACATTATTGCTGTGTGCGTTAAACATTTACATTTATAAGCATATTTATTCATAACCTACTCATCCAACATTCACTCAATAAGATTAAACACTAAAATAATATATTGCTTGCAAATATAAGTCAATACATAAGTCTTGCTTATTACGCCAAACCAAAATAAAACAAAATAAACCAAGCTCAAGGCCGGTTAATATGCAAAAATATCCTAACCAAAACAAAAGTACTTAACGCAAGACTATGTTTCTTTCTCACCCTCTCACTCAAGGCATGTCCGTGGGGTAGTTAATAATCTTCACAAATTCCTCATAAGTGTTATCTGGATGGTATTTCCAGATAAATCCCAAGCTCGAGCCATGATGGTATTGGTGTGCCCAGCTGGAAAAATACTCCTTGGTCAAGCTTACACATTTCAAGGCCACTCCACGGAAATAGCGAGCACCGTCTCCCAATCGCACTTTCCAAGACCGGGCGGCAATCCTTCTTTCCCACTCTAACTCCACACACTTCCACGCCATGTCATGGTTGCTCTTCCAAAGTTCATCATTTTCTTTTAATACCTTGTTTAACTCTCCCCCTAAGTTAACATGTTCCATTTGCAAGTTGTTCAACCACAATTCCACTTTGGTCTTTTCCACTTGAATCTTAGACAATTCTGTTCTCAGTTCATTATTCTCACCACACAAATTCGTTATATTCTCTTCTAAGTCCTCACGAGTAGGMGTGCGTGGGGTGTATTCCTCATAAGGTTCCTCTGTTGGATCATAGGAAGAATCCTCTAAAGGTGTACGTTGAGATGACTCAACCCTTGAAACACTCACGTGACCCCTAAAGCTGCTCCTCAACCTCCTAGAGTGTCTGCTACTGCGGCTAGGGCTTGTACGGTCACGTTCCCCGACTCCACCCCTTGGTCCTAGTCCAGCTACCGCACTACCTCCGGCCCTACCTCCTCGACGGCCAATGCTCCTAGTACGCTTGGTATAAACCATATTCCTACAAAACCACAGTGAAGAATCTATCATCTTCCAATTTCTATCTTTTACACTCCATTTCAGTTTAAGCTTAGGCTAAAATTAATAACCTATTTCTCTTAAACTAAGGCTTTGATACCACTTGTAAAGACCCAATTTTTTTTCCTTAATATAATAACGTCCAAACATAAATAAGCCATAAAATCTAAATAGTTCAACGCAACGGAAGTATATATATCTTTTTTTAAACTAATAAAACTTAAAAGGAACATATGTCTAAAGATATCCATATCAAGTTCCGGATAGTCTCCACGCCAAGCCCTTATTCCGCGATAGCCGGTTCTAAACTTTCTCCTTTCCMTTGCTACTATTCCCGTGTATGAGACGACCTGGTTGCATAATTATTTTTGAAAGGAGTTGGGTGAGCCAAGGGCCCAGTGAATTAACGGTTTAATGCATACACCACGTAAAAAAATAGATTTCACAAAGCGTCATAATTTATCATGTATACC